GATGAACAGCATGTCATGAAAACCTAGATCATTAAAGGATGTCATGAATTACTTGCTTAAACATAAAAGTATTAGCTCCATTACACCTCCCTCATCTGATCATTAAATCACCAATTAAATGATCAATAAAACAAAAAAAACTCTTTAATGTATTTTTTAAAAAACATGTCAACATAAACCTAAGTATATGTACATTTCTGAAATCCCAACCCCAGTAATTCAATTTTTATTCCTCCCACAGTCATTACTAACCCCCCAAAACTTAATTATCACACAGAAGTCTTTGGATCATCTTGAACACAAACAGGATTGTCTGTTTTGTTGTGTGGAAGGGTCAGAGGTGGTGGTGGGGCTCTGCGACTTTTTGTAGATCTTGGTCCCATCACACCTGGTCCTTTTTAGTTAATCAATGCACCTGTTTTGCGTCCAGTCATTGATACCAAATTAAGGTTTTTTCAGTTCTTCCTTGTTAGATCCTTATTTCTGCTTGTGTTGTTAGCAGTTGTGCTTAAAATAAATGTATTTTCATCTGCCTGTCTCCTGAGTTTACCTGCAGCATTTTTCATCTTGTTTAACCTAAAAATCACTTTGATTGTTCAGCAAGAAAAGCGCTAYTCCCTTAAATTGACCAAACAGCTGCATGACATTGCAGTTTATGCTGCAATCGAATGGTGAAAAAAAAAAATCTGGAATTTCAAACATTTAAAATACATCTGCCATTTTTAAGTAATGTTGTGTGTAAAAAAAACAAAAACAAATGAAAGCTTTTTGAACGGCCACAGCTCAGAGAAATAGAGTTAAGGTCTTACTGGAGGGAGGAGCTAATACCAAAATAGACTGCTGCTGTCTTAAAACTGAGCTATTCTCCAGCAGGAACTTCATCAAATTTCTCCTAACACCACCACACAATATGGAAGATACTGTGATATTGTGAAAAAGATAATAGAAAAGGTAATAATAAATTCATTTTGGAGTGAGATGCTTTCAGACTAGCTGTTAGCTCATCAGTCCTATTAGATGTAAACTGGATTCTTAAAAACTAAGGTCAAACTAACATGTAGGATATTAATTATTCACATTATTTGCACATCAAAATGACCAAAATGTCATCAAGAAAAATTTAGCTTAGTTGAATTGTGGATTTACAGGCTTTTTGCTCTCTCTCTCTCTCTCTCTCTCTCTCTCTCTCTCTCTCTCTCTCTCTCTCTCTCTCTCTCTCTCT